CAAGTTCTTTACAACATGAAGGGTATGCAAAATATATTCCTACAAAAGATGTTAAATCAAAAAATATGTTACAAAATAATGAATCTACAACTTTTATTTAAAAAAATCAGCAATCAGAATCAGAAATCATCGATTACTTGATCTGCAAATTTCACATTTTTTCGCAAACCGCAATAAATTATTGTCAACTAAATTTCCCACCAATTTTTTATGAACGATGCAACAACTTAGCATCGATAAATTACCTTCTTGCAGTATTCAATATTTGGAAACGACCATTTTTATTAAAACACTTGACTCAGCTTATAAATTTAATATCCTAATGATGATTTTATTTAAACTTCACCTCAAATTTACAAATATATAATTAAAAATAAACCCGAATTAATTACGTACAGTATAAATATATAGAGATTTCATTATTAAGCTGCTGGCCTATTCTGTGCTTTTTTTATATATTATTATATATATAATAATGTATATAAAAGTAATAATAATATAATACGACATTATTCGTTTTTTAAAAAAAATTATTTAATTTAAATTATATTATTTCTTTTTTTGTGCAAACCATCTATGCGTAGCTGAAGATATTTTATTTATATCAAACCCTTGAGCAACAACTTTGCGTATATCGTCATGTATTTCATATGAAATGTTTAATGTTGATGTCATGATAAGAGCAAAATTTTGAAATGTTTTTAGATGCAGCCTTGACATCTACATTCAAAAAAGAAATTAAATATACAGTAGAAATTAATGATAAAGTGATAATAAATTATTTAGAAAAATAATAATATATATATATATATATATATATAGATCACGAACCAATTCACCAAGCTTTCCACCCCATTTACCTATTGGGATCGAAACTTTTTTATAATGGATGTTTGATAACTCTGGTATCGTTTGAAGAATTGATGGAATAATTGCGGTCGGATGTGGGTTTCCTTTCTTTGCTTCAATGGCAGCAAAAACTGAACAATAATCAAAGTATATACAGTATGAACTTATGATAAGACAAATTTCGGTGATAATATTATTTATACATACCTGCATTCAATATTTGCAATCCGAAATGATCAATTTTTTCATATTCAATGTCATCTTCAAAAAATTCGATCCATCCACCTGGCTTGGTCACTCTCACTATTTCTCGTGCAACACCTTCCAATTGCTCAGCAGTTACATATTTTGAGAAAAAACGTTGAAAAACGAAATCAAAAGTATTATCAGGAAAAGGGATGCCATCATTAACATTGCACTGTAAAAATGCAACATTTGAAGGAGTCTCTAAAGGATCAGGAAACATTGGTGAAATATCTAAACCAATAAAAATAGAATTTTGGTAGTCGCGGCTCATTTCGAGAATCCATTTTCCGGTTCCGCATCTTTTTGTGATTTTTAGATTATTAAATGTACAATAGGTAATCTTAAATTAAAAAGAGCCTAGATTAAACCTACCCGACATCCAATACTCTGGCCTTTCCTTTGGCCAGTCGTTCTTGTACTGGTGATGAATGGTTTCCTTGCCACGCATATTTCAATAAAGAATGTTGAAAATTTAATCTATCCGCTATTATTTATATATAAAGAAAAAAAAGATTGCATAATATGAAGATACCTTTACGAATCAAAGCTTAGATTATAAAGCAAAATAATATTTTACCTTCATCTTCATCATTTGGAAGCAAATAGCCTACATCACTATTGTTATGGTACCTTCGGCCATTTATATACCGGAAAGAATCCAATAAAGTGTCTTTATAGGTATCGTTCTCGGAAAGGTTATCAGGGGAGTCTAATTTATTGGTTAAATCAAACATTGAAAAAAAAAAGAAGCGTATGGTTATAAAAGAATTGCTTCAAGATCTTCATTCATCAAAAGAAAAGTCTAAAGTCCCGCATTTACACGGATTTATTTTGATTTTGGCATAACAGATAATAGACATAAACAGAAATGGCACAATTCAAATCAATCATTGTTCCTTTTGTGCGACCATTTATAGGCGAGCTTAGATCGCCTGCGTATTTATCCTGTTTCCTTTTTGTAGATAACTAGATTAACAGGCTAGACCAATAATATTCTTGTCAAATAACATTCTTGCATTCTACATTTCTGTCTATATTAAATAACAGAAGATGGATATTTTAAAATTATGTTGGTGTGTAATGACACAAATTTGCGTAGAACGATGAACATTCCGCGTGTAATTACTATTATTTTAATATTATTCGTACATTTACTTTTTTAAATTTACGTGCATAAATCAAAAATTTTGAAGGCCTATTAATACTACTTTTTATCATAAGGCATTTCATGACGTAAAAATTTAAAAATAGAAACAACAGCCCGACTTTTAATTCTAAAATTAAAATATTGTAGAAAAAACCCTTTTCATTTTTCTTTAGATCCGGAGAAATAATAATGCAGGATATTAGCTGATTAACGTTAACAGACCGTAAATCCCATCATCCGATTCACTGTAATTAGTGACGTGATGGGTAAAATTGATTAGCGTTAGATATTACTTATACATTAGCAAATTTAGGTAAAGAAATATTAATCATAATTACATAATTACCATCAATTTTATTATATAAACTTAATTGTAATAATCTGGTTAAACCCTCTAGCGCTAGACATGGAATAATTGTAATTAGCCATTTTCGGTTTAAACTACTGTATATATATGGGGTCCTTGCCTTGAAAATCACGTTATGGAACATAGTAAATCATATGTTCCATAACGTGATTTTCAAGGCAAAAACCCCATATTTTAATTTACCGCTCTAGCATTCATTTACCAACACCTTTATTTATAAAAGACAGATGATTATAGAGAAGGAATTTCAGATTTTGTCTATCATTTTCTTATGGAGAGACGCCGTTTATTACGTAATTTTTTTTAGGGGAGGGTCTATCACATTTTGCGATGACAAAGGTTTCGTCACTTCTGTGTTTGACTAACCTTAGTGATTGACAAAACTCCTAACGATTGATGAAACCCTTGACGAATCAATCTGATCAAATACAGTTGTCCCTCTCTCAATGAGCTTTATAAAATCTCTGGACATGCTATATTTAAATTTTTACGAATCTATCTATTTTTATTTCATTATAAAATTTCATAGGTTCATTTGAAAAACATAGCAATTTAAACCGAACTTTTATATTTGAGTGTAGCCAAATTTAAAATCATAACTGATCATAATAAATTTCTTAGTTCCGGGTTTTTTAATTTGACAGTATTCATTTCATGAATCTAAAACTGAAAATATTTTTTTATTAGTTTCTTTTGTTAGACTCATTGGAAACCTCCGGGTAGTTAATGCTTTAAATGAGTAACATGTTTTAGGGAAAATTAAATGAGTAGGCGTAATAATGCAAAAAAAAAACATCGTATGAACTAATTTATTTAAATTATGAAAGAAAATGAATATTAATTTTATGCTTCAATCATCATTATAGGTTTCATCATTCGATATCGTATATATTGCATAAATGGTATGATTTTGTCTTTTACAATATAGGACAAGTCCAAATCTTAATATATTGTGTCCAGTTAGTTTAATAACAAACATAGAGTAAGGTATATCTTATATATGAATAATAATAATTTCAGTAAAAACATGAATAAAATTAAATTTCTCTTAACGTCCTCTTTATAGTAATAGAGCCATTTTTATATAAGTTAACCCGAAAGTTATCCAATAAATATAATTTATTCGTTAGATTTAATAATTTGGAGGTTTGTTTTTACCATTAGGAGAACTAAAAACGTTGGAGCTTCATCACTTCGTCACCAGCGTTAACCAGGCACAGTCTCATGATCCTCCAACTTCCTCATACCAATCATATATTTCGGCAAAAAATAACGTTGGTCTCTATGTACATAATAAAAGTTAAAAAGAAAACACGATAAACAAATGATTACAACTCACTCTTGTTAAGTAAAATTTTCATATATCTAGTTAAATTTAATAATTCTGTGATTCAAATTTCCTAACTATTGTATATTGAGAGCTCAGTATAACAAGAGTGAGCTGTATTTGAACAGATAGGTTATTCCTATTATTTAACTAGTGCGTATAATATTTTAGAATTTACAATCTTTTATCAGTTCATATCAATCCATTTACAACCGAAGCTACTTTAATGGACCCTGTACATAACGAACTGTAAAATTTTAAATTTATATTTGGGAAGTATAGATTTGTATTCGATGTCTTTATACAATTTAATTCACCATTTTTCTATTATTATTCAGTAATTACGTTTAGACTAATACTGTAGTAGTTGGTGGTCTTGTTTCTTAGACAATTAAGAAAATCTCCCTCCTAAAAAAAAAAATAAATAAATAAAAAATAAAATAAAAATAAAAATGGGATTGGTAAAGAATAACAAATTTTTTGGAAATTGTGGGGTCGGAATTGCGCCCTCGATGTAAACAAAATTTTAAAGTTTATTCAAGTTAAAAATTGTGTTATCAACAAATTTGCACAAGAAAAGTATTAACCAAAATTGTTAGGTAAGATTACATCCCATTCAAAGTTACCTTGATACAGTCCTAATATAGCTTATTAGAATCAACAGAGCGTAACTACACTACTGATTGGTTATTCTATTAATGCTAGTTACCAAGGTAAATTTTCATAAACGATATTATGCATATTAATCCGAATTATATGAGAAAGTCAGTGTATCGACAACTCTGTTTTACCGATGTAACAAATTCAAAACATTTTACGTAGTGTACTGGGCGAGTTGAATTTCTTTGAAATACAAAAAAAAAAAATGTACAGTATTTAATCTGTAAAATTTTCTCCGTTTCTTCAATTATACGACTATTTTTATTTTTATTATATAAATATGGGAAAAAGTTATTCAAAATTACGTTCATCTACAAAGTCTCATTACTACAAATTTAAGCGTTTAAAGAAAGTTTTTCAAGGTGATGTCACAATTATAGAAGGTAGAAAATTTTATAATATAGAACATCTATATTATCAGCTTCCAAGTGACGATCTAGAAATAGACAGATTACAATTGCAACATTATTTAATGAGATATGTCTGGCAATTAAAATTTTCTTCTCCCGTGCGTGACCTCTTACGCGAAGGTGGTGTACGTGTTCTTGACGTTGGGTTCGTTTTAAACTTTATAACTTACAATAAATTCTTATTTTTATTATTTATAATATATCCGACTTTCAGAAATCTGAATTCATAGGCCACTAACAATTAAACCTAATAACACAGATTTTGTAGAAGTTGATATATTAGGAGGTCTTCCATTTCCAGATGAATACGTACTTTGATTTTACTTTTACCCGATTTTTCAATCCGCATATGTTGGGTAACTCACGTTATTCCAGGCAATTCTCATACGTAAGTACGTACAGTACGTACTAAATCATTTGTTTACATATTATCTTATTGGTGCTTTATAACACAAATAGCAATTTCCTTTATTGTTATTTGAACTGTTAACATTCGCATAAAATATTTATTAATCTATACTGTATACGTATTCATTTTTTATTATAGAGCTAATTCGAGTGATAAAATCTGAAAATGCGTAATTCAGGTGAGCACATGTAAATTTTAATTACTCATTTATATACTATTTAATTACTTAATTTCGACTAATTTATTTAAATTTGGAATTACCTTAGAAGAGTATGATGCACATTTTGATGATTATGCAAAAAAGTGGATAAATATAAATCTCAAGTTAGAGCACATAGGATTTGGGCGGAAAAGATTTAATCAAGAAAATTATTTATTATGTACTTGTAGTAAAATTACGCATCTTTTTGATTTTTGATTTTTTTGATTTTAAATTTTTATATACTCATAACTTTGGTTATAGCGAGACATTAATCATAATGTCATTACAATGATTATACCATTTTAACTATATTTTTAAAAAAAAAGGTTAGTATAGTTATACCAACATTTTAACTATATTTTTGAAAAAAAAAAGGTTAGTATAGAAAGATTTTACTAAGATGCTATTACAGTTGACCCTCTCAGAATCGGTATGGTGGACAGGTTTTGTATCAGGTTTGAGAGGTTATCAGATTTGAAAACAGTTTTATATAGCTTGAATGGTAATTTTTTATCGGTTTTGACAGGATCGGTTTGGAGAGGGTCGACTGTATTGGTTTTTTTTTGCTATTTTAAAATCATTTAAATTGTATACTATATAGCTTTATAATAAAAAACAAAGTTCTTATACAATTACCTCTTTTATAATAAATTTTTTTTGTAATGAACTTATTAACGAGTGTCAAGTGTATTTAAAAAAAAAATCAATTCACAAGATAAACTATTTTTTTTGAACACAGTTTTTGCTAGTTAATATACTTTGATTTTACTAATTCTTTTAAAATAGTATTATCGTATTTTATATACAGTAATTTTAATTAATTTAGGTATGCAAAAACATAGTGTTTTATTCCGTTTTCTTTTTGTAAGTAACTAGACTAACAGGCTAGACTAATTATATTTTTGTATAATAAACATTTGTATTCTACATCTCTGTTCAAAAAAATCTAATTATAAATAGATAATTTTAACAAATTTTGCGTAGAACGATGATATTTGAAACATAATTTATATTTAAATTTAATAAAATCAAATACTATTTTTATTATAAGGCTTTTCATAATGTAAAATTTTTAAAGATATTATAGATCCAGTAGCCCGGCTTTTAATTCCAAATTATAAAAGTACTGTATAAAAAAGCCTTTCATTTTTACATATACTAAACGTGACATAACTAATGAAATATAGAAAACCCCAACTAAAATCCGTATAACTACTATTTCTTTAGATCCGGAGAATTAGTGCTCTGAATCAGATTCGTACTCCAAAACTTGGTATTCGTACCTCTAAAAATCAAGATAAAAATTCTTCAACAATTTGGCATGTAGAAATTCGTAAAGATATAGTAATCTCGCAAATTTGATGAATCCGGTAAAAAAACACTATACAAATCTGACATAGAAACGAATAAATAAACGTTCTCCGATCATTTGGATTCCTAAGACGACATTATATGCTTTATAAATATTTATACGAATTTATTTCATATGTATTCATGAATTTATTTTTTCTAATGTTATGCATATATAATAAATGAATTAATTTGAACATATATAAATCTTATATTACTAAAGCAATTTATAAGCCAGGAACGAGAACTTCCCAATGTGTAAATTAAGCTGAATAAAAAAAAATAATGTCCTGATTTTTAAACTGAAAAATATTTAAATGCGCTTATATTTTTTGTTCGATTTCAATCAATGCTAACTAAACATTATTGTAATCAGAACATTCCATTCTAAGTACGGTTTGTTTTCTGATTATGCGAATCGTTAAAAACTCGTACGGGTTGGTGGCATAGTGATTGTGGATATATTGTATTCATTATCAGAATCGGAATCATCAAGACCGTTGATGTTAGATCCACTCTCCTGAATTAATTCTAATGTCTGTGTAATAATTGATCTCGCTCTTAGTATATCTTTTAAAACAAACCCTAATAGTGGTTTATTTATATAACCAGTAACCTCCCGAAACTCATGATGCTGAATTCGACTGACGTATCCCATTGGACTGTCCATAGTCAGGAGTTGTAGCCGATTCGCGCTGTTTAATATCCCAACAGTTTGTAATTTTCTAAGGATATTTTCGTCATTGTAGCATTCTTTTGAAAGTTGAATTAACATATCGTGAAGCATTTTACGTAATTTCAAGCTATCTTTAATATATTTTCTTCCATGTTCACCTTCCCACTCTCTTCCAGTTTCAATTGCGCCAAATTCTAATCTGCTCCCTTTCAACCTAAATATTCCATCCCCTTTTCTTCCGATCTTTTTCCGATTCATTTCACGGTTGGTTTGGTTTTTTCTATCACTTGAGGCTCTACTCATCCCATCAACTCGTATTAAATTAAAACTTGAATTACGAAATGCAGTGTCAATAAGTAGACCCCATATATTTAACTGATACCATCCTTCTAATTTTGATGAGTCCAGAGCAAAGTTGTCATCAGCTTCCCAGAATGTATGCATAATTCTATACGCGAGATTAATGTAATTTAAATCAAAATGCGCCTTATTAGAATATGATGTGCTGGTGGGTAGAAAAGGTTCAAAAATAACTTTTCGAAACTTGGATAAGTCTGTTACTGAGTATTTTTTCATAAGATTGATAATTGATGAATCAATGTTTGGCATCTTTTTAACTTCAAAAGACAATATTTCATTCCAATCTTCTTTGCTAAATAAGGACATTGCTTTATTGTCAACATCACTTATAATAAATGAATGCAGACACGATTCATATGTCAAGTTTCGTGCGTGTTCATATATAACTTTTTCGACAATGGTACCACTCTTTAACCTCCACATTTTCTGTGGATCCAGGTTACGATATGTGCTATCAAATTCGGTCAAATCAGAAATTTCTAATTCATCTTCGTTTATGCCGTTATCATTGGCATTTGTGGATTGGATGGGGTTTCTATTTCGCTAAATCAAAAAATTACAATCAATAATTAAATTCAAAGCAATTGAAATATACTGGCATTATTTTATTGTTTTTACATGATCTATTTCTTCGCATTCCTCGACAGGTATTAACTCTTCTATATTGTAATTGGTTATATTGGTTGAAGAAGGCTCCTTTTCCTTGATTGATTTTTCGGTTGCAAGATGTTTTGCCTTTACCTAATTTGTGAAAATATTAATCAGTATTTTTTACCTTATCTGCACAATGAAAAAAGAATAATTTACAAACACCTTTTGTTTTAATTCTGTTATAAGTTACTTACTTCGTTAACTTCTTCAATTTCACTACCATCCTCATTCTCCTTATTATCGATGTTACTATTGGTTGTTTTCTTTGAAGCTCCACCATGATCTTTATAAGATGATGCCAATTTGTCAGATGGTTTTTTAATGTTCAGCCTTTTATCCAAATTTTCATTAAATGCAACATGTGCCTTGAGTTTCCCTCTCTTTACTTTTTTCTATTATTCGATGTTGGTTTTATGAGTACTAAGCTCAGTTTGCAAAGTTTAAAAAAAAAAAATTAATATACATCAGCTTTCCGAATATTTTTCTCATCCTCATAACAAGCCCAGTCGTCATCGTATTCGTGATTTTCCCAGCTTCTCTTTAAACTTAATAATTTTTCTGATTGTGGAGCTTCTTGCAAAACTTGGCTTAGTCGCAATTCATAATCTCGGAGAGCATTTGAACGACTACGATAATTAAACCTCCCATAAAAATTAGAAGGACGAGGGTTTATGTGATTTAGCAAGAAGCTTTTTTGTCTCTCTCGACGCGTTTCAGTCATGAAGCAAGTATCCTAAACAAAAAATATTTATGTAATGAATTACGTGGAAACTTCCGAGACGCGAGGAGTAATACAAAAAATGTCGTGGTATCTCTCACGTGATATACAGCCAATCAACATTTAAAACAAAATTAGATAAGCTGATCTGTAAATAATGTAAATAATCGCGCCCTTATAAAAAAATTATCCTTTATTTATTAAATATCGTATAAGAATAAACAAACTATTCTAACTAGGCATATTTTAATGGTGTCTGCGACTTGTCAAGTAAGATCAAATTCATTCTCTATTTCGCTATAAAAACACAGCCGGCTTACTCGAGCAGAAAAAACTGAGCTTATTCACTTGTATTCTGCGGATTAATATGAAAATCATAAACCCTGCGCAAGTGTCTGCTAGGTATTAAGTTGAAGGTCGGGAAAAGACTGCGCTCATCTATCTGGATAGCAGGGACGTTATTACCAATCGGGAGTCCACCTGCGAATGACTGCGCTCGACCAGATGGATACGCTTCAACACCGGCTGTGTTGACTTTTACTCCTATATTATATACTAACGTACATTCTGTTATTTTAATATATATATAAACCAACCACTGTCAAAAATTAAAATCGTGAAATCATGCTTCTATGGAAAGTATTCGTCTAATTCCTTTATCATGCTGTTAATGTCTACTTTCAATTTGTCTAGATTTCTGATCAGATTTATTGCAAAAATAAAGTTATTGATATAGAAAAAGAAAAGTTTCAAATTATCGATAGAACATTGAGAAGTACATGATAAATCAAAAAATTCATTTATTAGCAAAAAGGTAGGTATCATAAATTTTCATTGGGCTTTGCTTTTGACACTGCATATTTCATTTTGTAATGATATAAATAATCATTTTTATTTTATTTTATTTAGAGCAGAAACAATAGATTCGATTTTATTACAATCAATAATTCATCTTATATCAATGTGAGTCTATGACAATTTTTCTTGGCAAAAGTTATCAGATGACAATTTGTCACGCGTGACTTTTATTCGCTCATGTTTTCGTATAATTAACTAAATATATCAGATAAAGTTAGACGGAGAACGCGGGGGTTACCAGGACTTAAAAAGGAAAACCGAGGCAAGCATTACAACCATTTCTTCTATCTTATCATCTCACACCTCTAATTCATGTGATGAAGTAAATATATTTACTGAAATCTCAGGTTTCGGATTATAAATTTTCGCCAAAAAATTTTTATTATACCTACTTTTTAAATCATACTGCTATACGAAAATCCGAAAACAGAATAAGCATTAATTTTTTTTTTTTGGTTTGTTTTTGTAATAAGTATATAAAAAATTTTCTAATTATTTAGCAACTTAGCAGTGAGTAATTTTAGCCATTGCTGATTGAAACGGTCCATTAAGTTGATCGATTGTTACTAGGTGGTGTTGTCGCTTTTCAAATAAAGAAAATTGGAAAAGTTCGACGGAAGGTTTTTTGAATTATTTTATTTGCAATTTGGCTAAATTTGTGAAGAAAAATACATAACCACGAATTATTTCATTATTTGTAGAGTTGTATTCTTGACAGTTGGCAGAAAGTTTCTCCGAAAGAACATAATACTGACTAATTATTTTTTCTTTCGGGAAAATGGCTTGAGTTATTGTATTAGTATTAAAAAAAAAAACTATAATTAGTAATTTTAAGCAGTAGTTTATTTATTTGCATTATTGTAACAGTATCAATAAAAATGAATATAAAATATTTCAAATGTTCATGTCGATTATTTTTTAAACAAAAGTAAAATTGCGGCCAGATATAATTAAGGAATTTTGAAACAGAGTTGGGTATTTTTTAAAATTACAAGCTTGTAAACGTAGGCCTCGGCAAAATTTTATTCTCTTGAGAATAAAGTACCGAACAAAAGACTTTATAAAATTTTCGTTAATGTTTAGATTATTTCGATTTTTATTTATTTATTTTTTTTTACTACAGTAGCAGAAAGAATTTTGAAAGTGCATAAATACTTTCGCTTATTTTGAAATTTTTTTTTTTTTGACGATGGTTTTGATTTTACGGCTGCGCTAAGGTGGCGTGATCTAGTTTACCCAATTGAAGACGGTATTCATGCGTACTGACGAGGGGAATTAGGGCTCCCATCAAAATTATCAAAATTTTAAATAGACCAAATTCAGTAAAAAAATTTCATCGAATTTGGTCAAGTGGTTGCCGAGATATCTGCTCAAAGTTTGAGATAAATTTGACGCAGCTTCTATTTTGTTGCTTTTTTTAAAACTTAGAGCGAAGATATTTCGATAACCACCTGATCAAATTCGATAAAGCTTTTTATTTGAATTCTTGAATCCATAGAATTCAAATAAAAAAATTTTTATTAAATTTGGTCAAATGGTTATCAAAATATTTCGCAACAAAATTTGGGGTGCTGTCTTTATTTTGATAAGTATTTTGATTTTTTTAAAAAACTTTGAGCGAAGATATCTCGACAACCACTTGACTAAATTCGATAAAAATTTTTTTATCTGAATTATATGAATCTATAGAATTCAAGCAGAAAAGGTTTCATCGAACTTTATCAGGTATCTTTACTCAAAGTTTAAAAAAATCAATATCAAAATAGAAGCTGCTCCAAAGAAAGATATCTCGATGAAATTTTTTGTATGATCATCGTCACGTGATAAGAAACTGACTAAATCGATCATAGTAGAATAACTAGTGTTTGGATTTTGATCTGATCCCAACCGTCGGATTAGTTTTGGCCCAGAAAATTCGAATTGGGCCAGATTGAGCGGGATTGTGCCCAATTTTAAAATTAGGGTACCTAAAAATTTTGGATCAACCGGGATTTTTAATCCGATTCGAAACATTAGATATTAAACAGTATTTAGCAAATTTAGAAGAAAGAAAAAATTACGTAATATTAAACATAATTACATAATTAACATGTTTAACTAGATTAGTTCTGGTGTATAAGGTACGTACTTGATTTATAATGGTAATTGATTTTCAAATTTGGTTAAACCCTCTGGTTTGTGTTAGCGAAAATCCTGAGTAATAATAGTTAATTCTAATCTCTAGTGCTACGTAGACGTCATTAGCCATTTTCTGTATATATACGTCAATATTTATTTTACCAACATCTTTATTTATATATAACAGAAGATCTATTATAGGACGAATTTCAGAAGATATTTTGTCTATCATTTTCCGACGGAGAAACACGTAATTTTTTAGGGGAGGGAGGGAGGGTCGCGGTCTATCACATTTTCGATGAAGAAGGTTTCGCCATTTCTGTATTTGACGAACCTTAGCGATTGACAAAACTCCTAACGATTGACAAAACCCTTGACGAATCAATCCAACCAAATACAGTTGTCCCTCTCTCAATAAGCTTCCTTATAAAATCTTTAGATATGCCATATTTAAATTTTTTCGAATCTACTTTTATTTCGTTATAAAGCTCCATGCATTCGGTTCACTTGAAAAACAGTAATTTAAACCCGAACCAACAGGCTCATATAAAAAATGCTTCTATATTTTGAGTGGCCAAATTTAAAATCATAATTGATCACAGAAATTTCTTAGTTCCGGTATTTTTAATTTGACAGCATTCATTTCATGAATCTAAAACCGAAAATATTTTTTATTAGTTTCTTTTGTTAGACTCATTGGAAACCGAAAATATTTTTTATTAGTTTCTTTTGTTAGACTCATTGGAAACCTCTGGATAGTTAATGCCTTAATTGAGTAACTTGTTTTAAGAAAAAATCAAATGAGTAAGCGTAATAATGCAAATAAAAAAAAAAAAAACATTGCATGAACTAATTTATTAAATTATGAATTTTATGCTTCAATCATTATAAGTTTTATCATTTGATAGGCATCTTTAATATATCGTATAATTGCATAAATGTTATGATATGAGTGTTGCAAAGCGAAACCTGGAATTTCGGTTTTTGCCGGCAGATCCGACTCCTGATGAAAATTAATTTCGGAAACTCACAGGTTTTCGCTTTGCAGCACTCATATGGGATAATAATAATTTTTTGGTTTAATATTAAAAACATAAAAACATAAAATTTGAACTTTCAAACTACTAAACCTACGTGAATAAACCTACATTTATTGAATTTCTCTTAACGCCCTCTTAAAGTAATAGAGCCATTTTTATATAAGTTAAAACAAAAGCTTGTTTATTAAATATAATTTTTATTCAAGTGGGTTTAATAGTTTGGAAGTTTGTTTTTACCATTAGGAGAAATAGTTTGCAAAAAATTATTACTGTCAAATTTTAGATCCATCACTTTGTCACTCCAGCGTTAACCAGGCGCAGTCACATGATCATTCGACTTCCTAATCACATATTTCGACAAAAAACAACGTTGGTCTCTATGTACATAATAAAAAATTCACTCTTATTAAGTGAAGTTTCTCATATAATTTATCTAGTTAAAATTTAATAATTCTGTAATTCAAATTTCCTAACCATATCGTGTATATTTTAGAATTTACAATCTTTTATAAGTTCATATATATCCATTTACAACCGAAGCTACTATAATGAACCCTGGACATACGAACTGTAAAATTTTAAATTTATATTGGAAAGCATAGATTTGTATGTCTTATTGTTCGATGTCATTATACAATTTAATTTCATTTTTCAATCTGTTCTCTATTAATATTCAGCAATTAAGTTTACCCTTTATCCTAGACTAATAGTAGTTGGTGGTCTTGTTTCTTAAACAATTAAGAAAACCTCCCTCCTTAAAAAAAAAAAAGGGATTGATAAGAAGCATTACCAAATTTTTTGGAAAATTGTAAGGTCGGAATACTGTGCGAATGCGCCCTAGATTATCAAAATGTAAATAAAATTTAAAATTTATTCAAACTAAAAATTGTGGTATCAACAAATTTCTGTAAAATTTGCACAAGAAAAAGTAGTAACCAAAATAGTCAGGTAATTGTCAGGTAAGATTAAATCCCATTCAAAGTTACC